GAGAGAGAGAGAGAGAGAGAGAGAGAGAGAGAGACCAGCCGCGTGACAAAAATACGTGCGTGCCTCTCCTCGCTTTAAAAAGGACACACGATTCGTGTGAGTTCTAAGCCGTGTCAGTAATCATCCTCGGGAAGACGCGGCCGAATGTGGTTTGGCAGATATTCTGGATCAGTTACCCGCATTATCTTAATCATCATCGTCATTATCACTAATGATCTTGCGCTTCAATAACCCTACCGCTGAATTCTTTGGCCAACAACGATTCTTAAAAGACAGCAAACGGGGCGAAAAAATTGGCAGGACCTCCTGCCTAAAACGGGTCGGGCGAAGCCCGTTCGGCGCGACACGTCCACAGACTCGCGGCAAGCGGGGCCCGAGGAGAAATCCCCCTCCCCAATGCCGCCGTGCGTGGGTGTAAGGGACACCGAGAAGGTGCGCGTGTGCGTGTGTGTGTGTGTGCGGGAAGGACGGGGCCGCCGCCGCCGCCTCCACTCCTGCCCTCCTCCCGCCTCGGCGCTTTCCTCAGGACGCGCCTGTTTAACACATTAAAACTGTGCTGGACTCGAAGGTTGGGCTTGCAGCGCCGTTCCCTCATTCGCTCCCCCTTTGCCCGTCCCGGTCCCAGAGACGTCATGGGAGGGAGGTATAAAATTTCAAGCGAGAGGAGCAGAAAGAGGCAGTTTTTGTTGTGCGGGAGCTCCGAGGAAGGGGAGAAGAGGCGCCGGGCGAGATATTAGCGAGGGGGCGAGAACCGCGGCGCGGGACCTGAGGCGGGAGCTCGGGGACCGTGGGGACGCTGGCGTGGGCTGAGGAGAAAGGAAGAGGCCCGCTTCCCCCTGGAGCCGCTACGGCCCGACCTCGGAGTGCGGGCACGGGGGAGTCCCGCAAGCGAGCGGTCGGCGGCTGGCCAAGCACCAGCAGCCCCTCAGCCGGCCACAGAGCCAGGCGCCTCGGTCCGTCCCCCGCCCCGAAGGCAGCCAATGAAGCCGGCGCGCAGCTCCTGAGACGACGGCGCCGCCTCGGCTCGGCTCCAGAGGGAATGGCAACCGAGCGGAAGGCATGAATGGGGC